AATATAATATAATATATATATATATATATATATATATATTTTTTTTTTTTTTAATTATTATTATTATTATTGTTATTATTTTCACGAAATGAAATTTAATTTGTGTCCAGCCAAATAATCATACAGCTTGCTAAAGGGATATATATGAGCTTACCCAAGAAATACACAAGTAGCGACAGACCGGTCCCTGGTTAGATTAAAGTGAATAAAATTTAGAATGAGATATCAATGGAGAATTAAAAGTATATGTAGAGAAAGTTTGAGTCCTCACCGAGAATCTGTTCAATAATACCTAAAAAAACATAAGAAATTAAATTATAGTGAGTGAATCCATTGTTTTTCCTAACTTGTTAGGATAGAAAAGAATGTTAATTAAGGAGCAGAGCATATATAATTGAAGATTGTCCTTACTTATCCTTTGTCCACCATATAGGAGCTTTTCCATGAAATACACAAGTGGCTCCAGACTGGTCCCTGGTTAGATTAAAGTGCAACACATATAGAATGAGAGATAAATGAAGAATTAAAAGTATATGTAGAGAAAAGTAATACCTACAAAGAAATGAAGAAATTAAATTGTAGTGAGTGAATCCATTGTTTACCAAATTTCTTAGGATTGGAAAAGAATGTTAATTAAGAAGCAGAGCATATGTCCTTACTTATCCTTTGTCCAAAATCCCCATAATTTTGGAGCTTATACATTATATTCTCAAGTAGGCGGCCAAGTAGCGACAGACTGATCCCTGGTTAGATTAAAGTGCATACATTTAGCAAATTTAATCAATGGAGAATTAAAAGTATATGTAGAGAGAAGTTTGAGTCCTCACTGACAATCTTTGGAAGAACACCTACAAAGACATGAAGAAATTAGATTGTAGTGAGTGAATATATCCTTTGTTTTCCTAATTTGTTCGGATGGAAAAGAATGTTCATTAAGGAGCAGAGCATATATAATTGAAAGAAGTCCTTACTTGGTCGATAACTGAACAGATAATAACCAAGCTCAAATCCGTGGAGGATTGCTTGATGAAAATCAGAAAGGGAAATGTTGTTCTCTGCATATTTAATATTAGGCCATGAGGTCAAGCCTATAAATTCTGCTCTGCATCCATCACTCACCTCAGAGGCACTCATTTCTCCAATCCTTAAATAAGTGTATCCGTTTAATTTGCAGCCACTAATTTCCACAAATATCGAATTATTAAGAGCAAATGGACAGTTGAACATGAAGATACACTCTGATCTTGTAAACTGTAATCCATAAGGATAATAATATGTGTCAAAGATACTATAGTATTGGTGGAAGAAGATATGCATAGGTCTGAAAGAGCACAGATCACCTTGTGTTTGTAAAGTTGGATCTGCCAAGTGAATGTCTTATTATCGTAGTCGATGCCTTGAACGTGAAACTTCTTGGAGAAAAGCGATAGTACTGTTTGGTTACCTTCACAACCTAATTCATATCCTGGAAAACGGCAATCTTTTGGATCAGTGTTTAAGCTAAAAGGGTAGCTTATGTTACGGATCTGGCCACAAGCAGAAGGGGGCAGTAGTGTTTGCTCTTCCTAGCATTGCATGTTTGCAGAAAGATGAGGATTAATGTAAAATATTTTAGCAGAATGATTCCCCTACACAAATACATTTGTACTTTCTTTCCTACTATTTCCAAGAGAAGAAATGAATTGAGACTGAATTTGGGTGTGTTTGTTGGATACTTGAAACTGTGTCGACTTTTCATTAACAACGGAAGACTTGTGTTTGGTCGTTGATGAGAAAGTTGCAATTTGATGAAAGGGCCCTCAACAGGAAGACTTTACCGTTTACCTATTTATTAAGACTTAATATCATCAATGCTCACTCAAATATGGAAGTTTATCACGAAAATCACTTAATTTCATTTTACTCCAAAAGTTACTCAATAATTATAAGTGTTTTACTTATAAAGTTATTCAATTTTGATTTTTACTTCAAAAGTCACTCAATCTATTTAATTATCTTTTTTCATTAGAATTTGTTTACATGGATTTTTTTTTATTTAAAATCAAATTTTGAAAAATAATAAAATATCAAACCTCTTTTAAAATGTTTACAATATGCTATTTAGTTATTTTAAAAAAATAATCCACTTAAACCTCTTTTAAAACTAGAGGAAATGACCATGACACGGGCCCAATATGATAAAAATTGAAATTATTAATATATCTTTGTTAAACCGACAAATATCAAGATATATATATATATATATATATATATATATATATATATATATATATATATATAGTATTAATATGTTTTAAACTAATTTAACTTTTTAATTTTAAAAAATATAATTTAACTTTAAAAATTTTGTTTTATCAAGATCTTGTACATTGAAACATATAGTACATATAGTTATGAACCCAAATATGTTAATACATATCTTTTCTTTGTTCAAGTAAAAATTTCTAATATACGAAAGAGTGAAAATGTATATTAATATTCCGCTAAACTGTATCATATAAATTTAAATAAAAATGAAAGAGGTATATTTCAAATCAAATACACCACATAAATCAAATGAAAGAAGTGTATATATATATATATATTTTTTTTTTTTTTTTTTGTGCTCTTGCTATCTCTTTTCGTAATATCGTCTCAATCATTAAAAAACTATTATATTAAATGAAGAAAAACATGTCATAAGTTTGTATCTTTTTTATGTTATCAATTTTTTTTTATACTGGATGCTTTATTTTGCATATTAAAAATAGATTATTACACGTTATTTAATGATAAATTATGTCTATCCCTTACAAAAATAAAATCTTATAAGACGCCTTCTTAATAAATATATCTTTCAGTTTCATTTTAGTTGGTTCATATTGACTTAACATAAGTCGTAAACCTATTTATTAGAAAGTTATTTTACTATATTAATTTTATTAATTATGCATTGAAAATTAAATTTGACTATTAGTATTTCATATAGTTACCTAATCATAAAGTCAATATTAGGAAAAATAACAAATTTCTCTTAAATTGCTAAAAAAAAATAGTATAAGAACCAAGTTGAAAATAATAATATTTATTTAATTATAATCAATTAATATAAAATATCATTTTTTTAAATTACCTAATTATATTAAATTTAATTACCTATAAAATATGCCTTGTTTCCGTGTTCAACACTTCTTTATAAAATGTGAGTGTGACATTAAGGTCCTATGATACTGCATAGAATACTTTTCTTAAGGAGACTGCAAAAACCTTAATAAGACCTTGAGCTATTAATCATCTATTGGGGTCTACAATTTCCTTCTCCAAATAATTTCATCGAACATACAAGGTAGTCTCTGAGAGACTGATCTAGTCCACAAATTCCAGATATTTAGGAAAACAAAAATAATAATTATAACTCGGTCCCAAAAAAAGTTGAATTTAGAGATAATTAGGATACGATGGAGAAATCATGGAAAAGTCTAACTTGGGTAATTGAAGAATTAATTGCCGTTTACCTATTTATTAAGACTTAATATCATCAATGCTCACTCAAATATGGAAGTTTATCACGAAAATCACTTAACTTTCATTTTACTCCAAAAGTTACTCAATAATTATAAGTGTTCTACTTATAAAGTTATTCAATTTTGATTTTTACTTCAAAAGTCACTCAATCTATTTAATTATCTTTTTTCATTAGAATTTGTTTACATGGAATTTTTTTTCTTTAAAATCAAATTTTGAAAAATAATAAAATATCAAACCTCTTTTAAAATGTTTACAGTATGCTATTTAGTTATTTAAAAAAAAAAAATCCACTTAAACCTCTTTTAAAACTAGAGGAAATGACCATGACACGGGCCCAATATGATAAAAATTGAAATTATTAATATATCTTTGTTAAACCGACAAATATCAATATATATATATATTTATTTATGATTCAAATAAAATGAATAACTATTAATGTCCTAATTAAAGTTTAAACTCTTAATTATTTAAGGAGTATAGCAAGAGGAAGATATTTTTCAACCTTACCATTGAAAAAGTTGAATTTATTACCTTTTTCATTCAATTTTATATGATATTATTTATTCAATTTTTTTTTCAAAAAAAATCATTATAGACGTTTTAAACTAATTTAACTTTTTAATTTAAAAAAATATAATTTAACTTTAAAAATTTTATTCTATCAAGATCTTGTACATTGAAACATATAGTTATGAACCCAAATATGTTAATACATAACTTTTTGTTGTTCAAGTAAAAATTTCTAACATATGAAAGAGTGAAAATGTATATCAATATTCGAGTCCGTCAAACCATATCATTTAAATTTAAATAAAAAAATAATATTTTTAATCAAAGTACACCACATAAATCAAAATGAAAGAAGTATATTTTAAATCAAATACACTACATAAATCAAAATGAAACAACTTGAGTGACCATCTAGGATATTAACTCATTTATTAATGATGTATGGAGATGGAAATGCCTTGTTTCCGTGTTCAACACTTCTTTATAATGTGAGTGTAACATTAAGGTCCTATGATACCGCATAAAATACTTCTTCTAGGGATAGTGCAAAAACCTTAAAAGACCTTGAGCTATTAATCATCTATTGGGGTCTACAATTTCCTTCTCCAAATAATTTCATCGATCATACAAGGTAGTCTCTGAGAGACTGATCTAGTCCACAAATTCCAGATATTTTGGATAACAAAAATAATAATTACAACTCTGTCCCAAAAAAGTTGAATTTAGAGATAATTAGGATACGAGGGAGTCATTGGAAAAGTCTATCTTGGGTAATTGAAGAATTAATGCCACATCATAAAATTTCACACTCTAATGCACAAAAGTTAAACTCTTTTTCCTTTAAACTATTTTCCATCCTGTATTCCTAACCAAAGGGTCCGACACAACTTTTCAAAATTTTACTCGGCCAAATAATCCCTACTAAATCAGTCTCCTTTACCGATTCTGGCCCATAGGCCCTTACAGATCCAACTTGGTTCACAAAAGTCCGCTCTTCTTTCGGCGTCATCCTTGTTTCACATCATGAACTTGTCATCTCTTTTGCTTATTTTGCCAAACTCTCTCTCCCTTTTTAAGATTTAAATTAGTCTGCCTTAGTTCTGCTCTCCTTTTTTTTTAAAGGGAGGAAATTCTAATATTTGGAATATAAATTTTAAGAATATCAGAGCATTATTCTCTGCTTCTGCATATTATTGGATCGGCTATATTTGTTTCACATAAACATTACATCAAGTCATCAACTATAGTCAATCAGAACAAATGTCTAATTCAACCGGATTTTCTAACAAAGCCATTGAATCAGATAAAAATGTCATACAACTTCCCATCATCTGATTAACAATCGGCTGAGATTGAATAGCCTGAGGAGGTACTTCTAGCACTTCAACTTCACCTTCAAGCATTTCTAATACTTTACTCATTAAAGGGCGTTGTATCGGATTTGTTGTTGATTAGTGCTTCAAAGCAGTTGATTTGTTTCCTAGTTTTTAGCTAGTAAAAAAAGTAATGTTGTTAAGTTATTTAGCATTAAGTTATTTGCTGTTTTCTAGTTGATAGGGTGGAGTTAGTGAGCATGTTTATCCACTATCGTTTAGTTGCTTATTTCTAGCTAATTTTAGTTAGTTATAGGCCTATTTAACAGGTCACTGCTGTACCTTTTTTGAAGTAATCAGAAAGACTTTAGAAGTTCTTTTTTCTCTGCCTCTGCGTCCCTTTTAAATCCCCAA